CCAAAAGAGATACTTTTTAAAAGATATTAAGATGAACTTAAGTTGTATGTAGACTTTTGAGGTTTTGGTTTTTTTTTTTTTTTTTTTTGAGTCTCAACTCAAATGTCACCTCCTTAGACAGCCCTTTCTAAATTACTCAGAATAAAACAGCCCTCTATCCCATGTCAGTTACTCTCTCACATGACTGACTACCTTTCCTCACAGCGTTTTCTTTGCCTGCTATTTTCTGTTCTTTATTTGTGTGTTTGCTGTCTGTCTTCCCCCACTAGAATGGCAGCTCTGTGAGAGCAGGGGTCTCATCCATTCTGTTTACACTGAGCCTCCGGTGGTGAGAACACGGTTTGGCTCTTGGTCAGTGGCCGCTGCCATATCAAAGTACCACAAACTGGGTGGCTTAAATCAACATAAATTCAGAACGTCCCTTGTGATCCAAGGGTTAAGAAGCCTCCTACAGATACAGGGGACATGGGTTCCATCCCTGGCCCAGGAAGATTCCACACGATGTGGGGCAGCTAAGCCCATGTACAGCAACTACTGAGTCTGAGCTCTAGAGCCCATGAGCTACAACAAGAGAAGCCTGTGCATCGCAACTAGAGAAAGCCTGCTCTCAGTCATGATGGTCCGGTGCAGCCAATAATAAGTAAGTGAACTTTTAAAAAGCAAACAAAGAAAGTTATCACTTATTGGCCTTTTGGCTAAGATCAAGTGTAAAAAACAGAAACTTATTCTTTCACTGTCTTGGAGACCAGCAGCCAAGGTGTTCAATCAAGGATTTCAATCAAGGTGTTGGTGGGACCGTGCTCTCTGGGAAGGCTTTGGGTTAGAATGCTTCTTTGTCTCTTCCTTCCTAGATCTGGTGGTTGCCAGCAACCCTTCCCCTTGGTTTGTACTGTGTCATTCCAGCTTCTGCTTCTGTCCTCACATGGCCTTGCTCCCTTTGTGCAACTCCTCTGTGTCTCTGTTTCCAAATACCTCTCTCTATCAGTACACTAGTCATTGGATTTAGGGCCCACTCTAAGCCAGTATGATCATGTCTTAATGCCATCTACCAAGACCCTATTTTAAAATAAGATCCAAGTATAGGTACCAGGGGTTAGTACATCAACTTATTTTGGGGGATAGGGGTGGGGACACAATTCAACCCACAATAGTAGCCAATAAATATACTGAACAAATGAGCTAGCATTCACTGGAAAAATGGTATACAATACGGTGAACTCTCAAAGGGGTTCAGGCAAAGGCTCTAGAAGGTGTTATTCTCCACAGGTTTTGACCCAACAGAACATAAAACGTCTTTTGCTGGCTGTAGTAACCAAAGTTGTGTGTGCAGTTCAAGGAGAATAATGACTCCAATGTTCTAGATGGGGTATGGAGTTTTAGTTGCTGTATTCTCAATGTTCTTCTATATTTATTTTATGAGAGTAATGTAATGCCATTATAAATAAAGTTTGGAAAAGAGAGGAAAGAAAGTCAACTCTAATCCCACTTCCTTAAGTACTTTGGAGGAAATTTATGTGGAAATCATTCTGGACAGAGGGAACAGCAAGGACACAAGCCTTGAGGCATAAACAAGCTTGGCATGTTCAAGGGGCAGATAAGGTAGCACAGCTGGGGTAGCCGCATCCTGCCGGGTGTTCCAGATCTCATTTTGGACATCAGCTCCCAAATCAACAAACTTCCTTCTCTGGTAATCTTCCCCAAACACACTACCTTCCACACCCCTTCCCCATACACACTAATGTGGTGGGGAGGCTGTGGTGTAGACCTGGTGTGTTTAGAGCGGAGTAGATAATAGATGCAATCGGGTACTCTCTCTAAAGCATTTGGAATTAGGATGGATAAGCGTTAAGCAGTCTCTCTGTGAAGCTCTGTGACCCTGGAAGCTGTGAGGAAGGTGCTCCACTTCAGTCAGAGGCAAAGGAGGCAGGTCAGCAACAGAGCAGCAGGGATGCAGAGCCCAGTCCTGCCAGTTAACTCCCCAGTCCATCCATCACAAAAGTCAGCCACATTTCTGCCTCAGGTTCCAGGGGACTTCCCTGCATCCCTATCAAACATCCTCATTCCTTTAACTCAAGCTGACCTGTGTGAACCTCTAGAGAAGTGTTTTGAGGAAAGGAGTTCTGTGGTCAAATAATTGGGAAACAGTGGCTTAAATCAAATATAATAGCTTTTTAATCTGCAGACCTCTTAGAGCCCTTACTAGCATTATGTACATTCAAAAAGGAACTCTCCAAAAAGGAACTCAAGTGAGATTCATTGCCTACTTTGACTTCCTAGGTTGTGCTGGGAAATGTAATTAAACAGGATGCCAACCTGAGTGGTTTCAGTTTCTGTTTTGGCTGGTCCTGGAAGACCAAGAACAACAGAAGAGGGTCCATCTATTCTGACCACCAGGAACACAGGTGTTGCTAAAACATTCCATCACAACAAGTAATTTTATCCAGGAGAGAGGAAGGGAAAATTCAGACACAGACAGACAGACAGACAGATACCTGAAGGACCGAGGAAAAGAGAATACAGTTACATTGTGCTTGTCATCCATCAGGTCTGACCTTTCAATACAACAATTGAAAGAACGTCGGCAGGCTACAGTCCATAGGGTCACAGAGTTGAACACAACTGAGGTGACTTAGCACATTCGCACAGAACAATTACAAATCATTTGCCAACTTCAAGATCACATTCTTTTCATTCCAATCCCAAAGAAAGGCAATGCCAAAGAATGCTCAAACCACCTCACAATTGCACTCATCTCACACACTAGTAAAGTAATCCTCAAAATTCTCCAAGCCAGGCTTCAACAGTATGTGAACCGTGAACTTCCAGATGTTCAAGCTGGATTTAGGAAAGGCAGAGGAACCAGAGATCAAATTGCCAACAACCACTGGATCATCAAAAAAGCAACAGAGTTCCAGAAAAACATCTATTTCTGCTTCTTTGACTATGCCAAAGTCTTTGACTATGTGGATCACAACAAATGGTGGAAAATTCTGAAAGAGATGGGAATACCAGACCACCTGACCTGCCTCTTGAGAAATCTGTATGCAGATCAGGAAGCAACAGTCAGAACTGGACATTGAACAACAGACTGGCTCCAAATCAGGAAAGGAGTACGTCAAGGTGTTATTTGTTATCCTGCTTATTTAACTTATATGCAGTGTACATCATGAGAAACTCTGGGCTGGATGAAGCACAAGCTGGAATTAAGATTGCTGGGAGAAATATCAATAACCTCAGATATGCAGAAAGTGAAGAACTAAAGAGCCTCTTAATGAAAGTGAAAGAGGAGAGTGAAAAAGTTGGCTAAAACTCAACATTCAGAAAACTAAGATCATGGCATCTGGTCCCATAACTTTGTGGTAAATAGATGGGGAAACAGTGGGAACAGTGACAGACTTTATTATTATTATTATCATTTGAGCTCTAAAATCACTGCAGATGGTGACTGCAGCCATGAAATTAAAAGACACTTGCTCCTTGGAAGAAAAGTTATGACCAACCTAGATAGCATATTAAAAAGCAGAGACATTACTTTGCTAAAAAGGGTCTGTCTAGTCAAAGCTATGGTTTTTCCAGTAGTCATGTATGGATGTGAGAGTTGGACTATAAAGAAAGCTGAGCACCAAAGAACTGATGCTTTTGAACTGTGGTGTTGGAAAAGACTCTTTAGAGTCCCTTAGACTGCAAGAAGATCCAACCAGTCCATCCAAAAGGAAATCAGTCCTGAATATTCATTGGAAGGACTGATTCTAAAGCTGAAACTCCAATACTTTGGCCACCTGATGCGAAGAACTGACTCCTTTGAAAAGACTCTGATGCTGGGAAAGATTGAAGGCAGGAGGAGAAGGGGACAACAGAGGATGAGATGGTTGGATGGCATCACCAACTCAATGGACATGAGTTTGAGTAAACTCCAGGAGTTGGTGATGGACAAGGAAGCCTGGAGTGCTGCAGTCCATGGGTCGCTAAGAGTTGGACATGACTGAGGGACTGAACTGAACCAAAGATCCCATTCCAGTAATTGACATCCTCACTTAGATGAGCCTCAAATGTATATCATCCACAAAATGATTTACTGTCTGAACTTGGGACTCGGCCTTCCACCTCTTCTGGCCATTCAGAAAAGATTAGGTAGAAACCATGGGCTTCATAACTGGCCGCCAAGCACCCCAGGGCTTGCTCATTTCCCTGTCATTCACCATAGCTTACAGTACTGGGCGCCCAGAGATGAGCAGGACTGGCCTGGCCGGGGAAACTCCCAGTCTGATGGATGTAGAAAATGAAGTTTCAAACTGACACTTGGCACAGAGGGTGGGAGTGTGGGGCAGAGGGTGTTGTGGGGCAGAGGGGAGACACTGATCTTGATCAGGTGGGGCGTAGGGCTAGATCTAAGCTTTATAGGTGCAAGAGGAGAGAGCAGAAGTACAGCGCTCTAACCCACCTAGAGGACTCAGATTCAGGGCTGGGCTGCCCTTGCTCAGAGAATACTACACTGCTGGATATTGCAGACTGGGTATAGGAAACCGGTTTTAGGTGATGCTTATCCATGACAAGCCATTTGTCCACATGCTTCAGTGAGTCATAAACTCCCCGAGGCCGATCCCGAGTGTTGCGCCTACAACCTCTTAGGTCACCTGCACAGAACGTTTAAGTGCGGGGGCGCCCTCAACACTGGGTTTCTATTTAGACCTCGCCAGGCGCCAGCCCAGCAGCCTGACCCCGCCCCCTCCCTCCTGGGCCCGCCCCCGGGGGCGGAGACCGCCGAAGCTTCAGGCTTGGGGCACAGCGGCGAGCGGCTGCCGCGCAGCGCATTCCCAGGCGCAGCGCTCGGTGCTCTGCTTAGAACCCCGAGTTTGCGGCGCGGAAACTGCGCAGGCGAGTCCACTCGGGCAGGTGCGGCGCGGCGCGGCGGTCTGGTCCTCGCCCTTGGAGGACCGATGTGCCCGGGCGTCGCGGCGCGCAGACCTGAACTCAGGTGAGGGCAGAGGGAAGAAGACGAGATGCCCTCGGAGGAGCCCTGCGCCCCCGGCGCCCCGGGGACCAAGCGCGCGCCGGGCCGCGAGCTGCGCCTACCTAGCCAGCTGCTGCCAGAGCTCTACGCCTTCGCGGCGCGCGTGCTGTTCTGCTTGGCGCCCGTCTACCTAGCTGGCTACCTGGGGCTCAGCATCACCTGGCTGCTGCTCGGCGTCCTGCTGTGGATGTGGTGGCGCAGGAACCGCCGCGGGAAGCTCGGACGCCTCGCTGCCGCCTTCGAATTCCTAGACAACGAACGCCAGTTCATCAGCCGCGAGCTGCTCGGCCAGCACCTGCCCGCTTGGGTGAGCCGGGCCTAGCCGGGCGGAGGGTCGGAGTTCGGGCGGATGCCTTGGGGGTTCGGAAGAAATTTGCGGTCGGCGAAGGAGCTGGGGCGCGCAGACCCGAAGGAGGGCGGGAGCCTGGGACCCTCACACCTGGTCCCCAGGGGACAGACCCTGGGGGCGGTGGCCGTGCCTCTCGCCGCGGCGCTCCCTGGTCTCATTCCCACCTCTGATCCTGGTGTGCTGGGAGCGTGAAGCAGGGTTTCACTTGAGGGCCCAGAACCTGAGAGAAAAATCGCAGGCGGGCCACACCCAGCAGAAAAACAAGGGCGTCTGGGACTCTGCAAAGTTACTGGTGAGGGAAACAGAAGACACTTCTTCCACTCGCCTGTTGATTCAAGGCAGGGTGAAACACTGACAGATACTGCAGTAGCAGAAACGCAGACTAGCTGTCGTTGGCAGAGGCCGGGACAGAGGGAGGCGGCCGGGCTAAAGACGAGAGTTCAGGGCTGGGACTGCGAGGGGTAGAGAGAGGCCTGGCCTCCGCCTAGCTGGGACACAGGCTTCTCTCCCTCCCTGGGCTGGTAGAGACACGCAGATACACATTCTGCAGCTACACAACCATCTCCTGGTGTGGAATGAACTGGACTATGGCTTCTCAGATACTTCTGGTCCTGAGAATCTCCTGGCCCACCTAACAAAAACAAGCTCTAGGCCCCATCTCACAACCCTCAGGTGGAATTAAGGAACCTCCCTGAGTCTCATGATCAGATGAGTTTGGGAAACACCTGCAAGAGGGGTATTCGGTCTGAGACTTGGGCCCCCGTAAGCCCCTTTGGGTGATGAACTGGGGCTGGTTGTCTCTGATGGCTTCTAGATACATTCAGGCACACAGGGGAGAGCTGTCCAGAGGCCACCAGACCCCTCACTTCCTCTGGCTTGAGGCCTGTACTGTAGAATCCAGCCAGGCTGTAGGTTCCTCACCCCTGCCTGTGAAAATAACTTCTGAAGTGGGATGCGAAGAAGATATTAGAAAGGCCTGTTCATGTTAAATTTGAAAGTAAGCCTTATTGCATTAGTTTTCTACAGTTGCTGTAAAGTACTACAGACTGGTTAGCCTAGAAATTTATCAAGACCAAGGTGTTGGCAAGGTTGGTTTCTTCTGATGCCTCTCCTTGGCTCTGTTCCCGTATGTCTTCATGTGGCCCTACCTCTGTATATATCTGTGTCTGAATTTCCTCTTCTTATAAGATCGTCAGTAAGATTAGATTAGGGCCCACCCTAATGGTCTTGTTTTAACTTAATCATCTCTATAAAGACTCTATTTCCAAATACAGTCACATTCTAAGGTACTCAGGGTTGGGACTTCAAAATATAAATTTTGGGAGACACAATTTAGCTCATAATACCTTTTATTTATTTATTTAACTGCTTCAGGTCTCAAGTGTAGCATGCAGGAACTTTTTTAGTTATGGCATGTGATCTAATTCCCTAACCAGGGATCAAACCAGGCCCCCTGCATTGAGAGCACAGTCTTACCAACAGACCACCAGGGAAGTCCCCATAATACTTACTAATATATGGATGGACAGTACAGCTTTAGGAGTAGGTTTACAAATATTGGGTAGCAGCCATGGAGACTGAGTTTGGGACCTTACTCCCCCAGACCTTGTTTGTTCTATGGAGGCTTGTGATCTTGAAAAGTGTGGACCCAGAGAGCAGGCCTATACCTGACCACACTCCTTGCTTACTGTTGAGGGAGCTCAGGCTGCCTGTTAGGCCTCTGTTGTGACCCCCATGGCAGCCTCAGTCCCTGAGACCTCACCGAGTGACACCTCTGCCTTTTGGCCCTCCCTTTGTTAGGAAGGCCTCCAGGCATTTAGCTGTATACCAAGGCAATGTTTCTGAAATTGGAGTAAGAATCAGATCCTGTAGGGGCCCTGATACTCCCCAACCCCCTGTCCTCCCACAAACACCATGGAAACTGTTCTGGCTTCTCTTGGGGGAGGTGACCCCAGAGTTACATGGACCTAGCCAACAGGGAGCTCAGCAAGATGGATGAGACAGAACACAAGACAGTACCTCCTGGATTCTCACCCTGTAAACCACACCCTGGGCCTGAGCCAGCTGAGTTGAAGCAGTGGCCCTGCCAAAGGCAGTCTAAGCAGAGAAGGCCTGTGAGCACAGCATGGAGGCACGGTGTGGTTGGTATCTGAGCAGGTGTTGGGTGGTTTGCCTGGCTGATGTGTGCAGTGCAAGCTGAAGGACAGGGGCCAGATTGAGGTAGGTGTGATGAAGGTTGGGACTGATTCTGAAGGGAGTCTGGGGAAGGTTTTGGAAAGGTCCTACAAAAAGCAGAAGGGAGGAAGGGGTGAAGCTGGAGGAAAGAGACCAGTTGAGAAACCAATTTTAGCCAAGGTGGTATCAGTGGTAGTGGGGACCAAGAGATGAGGATGAGAGCTGAGCAGGGTCGGACTGTAGGTGCGGGGGGGCCCCTATAGCAGGGTGCAGGAGGGACCAGGATCTTCTGCATTCTGATTTGGAGAGCTGGGTGCCTATGACTGGGACCAGGGATCTGGAATGTGAAGCAGGTCTGGGGAAGTAGGTTGTCTGTATGAACACCTGTGGAGAGCACACAAATAGATGCAAACGTGGGCTTTTGAATCTGCCTCATGGAGATTTCCACGCCCAGGGATGATGTGGAAAATCTGGAACCTACTTGGTTGAATTCCCCTTTGCCTGCCTCCCGAGGACACACATAGATTATGAAGACAGGTGGCTCCCGTGCAGTGGGGAAGAGGGACCCATGTTCACGATTTCAGAGCTGGGGCATGTTTATCTTACATGTGGACCTTTCAGTGGGCCTTCCCTATTTGGAGAACTGGTTTTCTTGAGTGAAAGGGGATTGATGGACTATGATCTTTGGTGTCAAGAAATATTTTTACTAATTAGCAACTGACAAGCCACTAGCCAGGGTGTTGAAGAAAAGTCTTGAGGGCCTCGAAGCCCTGCAGGTCATCACGCAGCACCCAGTGAGTGAGGGTGGACTCCCGCCCCTGCTGCTTGTCCAGCCATGTGCACACCTTGCTCTAATTTGCACCCAGTCCCTGCGAGGGGTCAGAGGCCAAGGCCAGGCTGAGCCACACCTGAGAGGCCACAGCGGTACCTTCTCACTGGAGCTGTCCTTTCCTGCCCCACTAGACTCCTCAACTTGTCATACAAGCTGCTGCCTCCAGGCGATCAGAGAAGTTGCTTTCCTGCGCTGGCTCTCATTGTTCCCACCTGTGAAATCCTGTTAAAGGAGGTTGTTTCTGGTCTAACCTGAGACAGCCCCGCTCCTCCTCTGGTTTGCTTCCAGGAACAGTTCAAGGGAAGGCTGCTTCTGCTATAGAAGGGGTCACAAGTGATGATGCCAGGGAAGCCCTTGTCCTGTGAATGTGGCCCGGCCACGTGGAGAGACAGCAGTTCATCTTCTGAACAGGGGAGCGGCCACTGCCTGCCGCTCATGCCAGTGTTCCTCATACTCAGTTTTTATATTTTTCAAAGAATTAAAAGCACGACTGAACAACTTTCACTTTCAAGAGTCTTTTCGGTCAGCCCACCTTGCCAGGGCTGGGAGCTGTGGACAGCACAGTAATAGAACTAGAGACCTTGATCCTATAGTCTCTGCTCCACCACTCATCTAGCCATTGGCCTTGAAGACTCAGTTTCTACACGTGGTTGGGATGAGTTGAGTCTGAAAAGCTGCTTGTTTGGAGCCAGGCATGACTGCATGCTCTGGGGGTCTATCACTGTATCCTTTGCAATTTCCCAGACCTCCCAACTCTCCATTTTTCTAACATGAAATGAAGCTCATTACCAAGTGGCCCAGCAGCAAATGTGCTCTAGAGTTGGATGGCTGCAGGGTGCAGCCTGGGGTTCCGTTCACGGAATTCCAGCTCTGGTACTCCCTAAACTTCCCACCTGATCTTCAGAATCAGTCCTTCGTGCTCTGGGCTTCTCAGGTAACCTGTACTGCTTGAAACCTCCACCCTCCCCCGCCCAGAGGCTCAGGCCCCAGCTGGGTCTCCACAGGCTGTCTCCTAGATCTGGGCACAATTGGCCCTTTGCTGCCCCGTGGTTTATGGGTTGTTGCTCATGGAGCCCTCGACCAGCGCTCACTTGGATAATTGGTTTGTTTATCAGATATTTGTTGTGCTGCTGCCACGAGTGGGCTGGTGTGAGGAGGGAAGTTTGGCATGAGTCTCACCTGCCTCCTAGTGAATGTGTCTGGGGGCTGAGGGCCTGGTAGTCAGGGGAAGGAACTGTCAGAAACCTTGTGTCTGTCTGTGGTCTCGGGCCTGGCCGAGCTCACTCTCCTGGCAGCTAATAGCAGTCAGTTGGCAGCTTCGTGAGAGACAGTTAACCCTCGTGTATCTGCTGTGGTGGGAGTGGGCTGATGTGATGTGGTGGTGTGGACTTGAAGTCTGAGGCTCATTCGCTGGGGGACCTTGAGAAGGTCCCCTGTCTTCTCTGAGTCTCTGGTTCCTGCCTGAAAATGGTGAGGTTCTAGGGGAGGCTCTGGAGCCTTTTTAGCTGCAGGAGTGTGCCACCACTGATCAGCCCCAACTTAGCTTTTCTCCAGTGCCCCAAACCCACAGGACACTGTTCCCAATCTTTCTTGCCTCCCCACAACCTAAGTGAGGGTGCCCACTGAGGCAAACATCCAGGAGAGGTGAGCCATTCGCTCAAACCATTGAGCGACCCAAGGTTCACAGCAGCATCCCTGGGACGATGATACATGGGATGGATCCTTCTAGGTTTATGTGCCAGCTGTTCAGCCTGACAACCAGGGCTGAGTGCTTTGCTTTCCTGAGGCTGAGAGTTCACATTCCTTTTGTGGGTGGAGCAGCAGTCTTCCAGGGCCCAGGCTCCCACAGTCTGTCCTGATACTTCTGCTAATTAGGGGGGTAAAGGCAGTGTCAGCTGTGAGCTAGGGTGGGAGCTCTCAACTTCAATCCCAAAGCTCAATTCTCAGAGTC